TCTCTCTCTCTCTCGCTCTCTATCTCTCTATATCTCTCTCTTCTTCTCTCTCTCTCTCTCTCTCTCTCTCTCTCTCTCTCTCTTTGTTCATGAAAATATGTAGCCAATATTCAACGTGACCAAAATCGTAAGACAATTTTTCGGTCACACAACACAACAAAACGTTTCAAAATAGTTAAAAGTTTCTTAACTAGGTAGATAATAGGTCTTCATTCATGAGTTATGAGCTTCTGGCGACGCATGCATTTCATGAAATTTTATCAGTGAACGGCCCTTGTTCTACGTCGTGAACCTGTTACAATTAATTTTACTGCTGGATGTTACGAAATACCTTTGGTAATTCCTGCCGCCAGTTTCATTGATTACCGGTAGGCTTCAGACATGCTTTACGAAAGCCGTGAGCGATTAGCTATCAGATCAGCAAAAGGCTAGCTTACTAACAGTAGCCACTGACGACAGTACGTCGCTTGAACTGCCGTAGTCTTGTTCCGCTGTATAACCAACACTATTTCATCGCCCTCGCTGCATTTCTGCAGTTGTGTTCGTTTTTGAGAACTGCTCATGTGGTTTCCTTGAGAAAAAATTCTTCACTTGGCTGATGGCGTACGGTTTCGTCGGTCGGTGAGAGCCTGACGACTTCATGTCACTGTAGTGACCTACATTCCAGCTGGCACGCGTTAAGTGACACGTGTCAAACATGATATGGAGATATTTGCGACTGAAATATGTGTACATTTTGGCATGGCTATCCGCTGGGATGTCAGTCACACCTGGAAAGGGCTACGGAAACGAGGTTGATGAGGCGTAGCGTTTGATTTGCCTGACATAATTTTAACTCTTGTATTCACATATTTGTCAATAAGCCGATCATGTAACCATCGCTATTTCAGTTGCCTACAGGCGATAGAATAAGCCACGTTCGATTTTTACCCACGTTTAATATGGCTAGAAGTGGATCCAAAAAACACAACCAGACCACAAAAAGGTTGCAGCACAAATCAAATGTCTCTCTCAGACAGCCTTTTCCTTTAGGCGCTGCAACATTGGCAGCATCATTTCCTGCTGCAAACAATCAACATCTATTCAAGAATTTCGCGTTTAATGCGTCCATGCTCTTTATCCATTCTGACCTGGTGCCTTGGGCGAAGAACAGCGGGTATTGCCGTCCACATTCCTGCAGCATTTCCTGTCATCGTCGCCACAGTCGCTGTCCACGTCACAATTCGGGAAGCCACGCTCCACAGCAGAGGGCGGAGGACACGTGCCTGGCTTCGGTGCTGGAAAATTGCGCCGATCAAGTCACTTCATCCACGCTAACAATGACTTACACACATGCTTTCATTTCTTGAGCAGCGCTGAATTTTATGAGCCCAGATTCCGAACAACAGATATAGTTTCGAAGAAAGGCTTCTTCTCTCATCCTTATTACGCCAGAATCGAAATCAGGATGACCCAAGCCTCCATATGCCGACCGGATGTTTTCCCTATGGATAGTGCCCGTACCGTCCGGCTCCTCGCACGAGGTGACACAGCGTTGAGTGCGGCAACACTTCTGCGTGCCGGGACACTGGGAGTCGTCGTCGTTGCAGGTGTTAATGACCTCATCCGGCGAACAGACCAGCGCTATGAAAGCCCGCCGGCGGCAGACGCCCGGCTTCTCTGCAAACAGAACAGAGCTGTGATTGGTCCGAGACGAAGCTGCGGGACCAATCTGGTACGCTTGCGATCCACTGGTCAGCGGCCAAAGAGCCGCGAAGAAGATGCTTGAATAACTCAAAATGATGATAATTTGGCTTTGTGAAATATGAACCGAAGAAGAAAGAAAAGCCGCGGACAAATGGTCTTCTGCTGCTGCCGGTACCGTGATACGCAAAACGCGAAGGCAGTAAGGATATTTGACATTAGATAGCTGACAGACTGGCATACTGATTGGCTGGTAAAGGGCAGGCCAAGGTGTTGACGGACTGGCCGTCTCGATGACTATGTTACGCAGTCCTTACCAAGGAACTTGTGACCCTGAAAACATGCATGCATCACTGGCACAACAGAAAATGACGGGATGCTTATGGACTGAACGGCTTGCCGAATGATGATTTCAAGTAGCTCGGCGGGAAATCTGAAGAAAAACACCACACCAGTGCTGAAACAGACCACACTCACATGACTGCGGTCTGGCCGGATCCGACTCGGCTAAGTGAAAGTAAGCATAATGTCATCAATTTGTTGCACGCTCAGGGTTTTCCCTATGTTTTCTGGGGCGGCCGCAATGCACCATAGGAGAATGTTGGCATCGGTGCTGTCGGCTCAGTGCACACGCCCGTCTCGCTCCTGACCCAGACCGCACGGAGCGCGGACACCAGCGGCCGATCTGTACTGTGTGACACCTGGAGCCAGAACGGGCGGCGCAGGACGACCGGCGCCGACGTCAGTTTGTTTACATTGGGCATATTTGGTGTGAGCTGGCAAGGCCAGCTTATGTCGGTCCTAGTGTCTGTTTGGTTACTTAAGCCGACTCTGTTCAGACGGTGGGTCATACACTTTTCCGCGTTATTGGCCTCGGACATTTGTTAGGTTTTCATTGACGTCATCCAACTACAGACTGTTGTAATCGAGGAAGCGAAAACTGGCGGTGCTAAATCTGAGCAAATGCACTGTGGGAGTCGGGGATCTGCCATGTGAATGGGGAGAGATGAAAGACTGAAAAAAAGTTTCGGTTTCCAGTGAACAGACACAAGCGGGGGATCAATATGTGATATAAAGGAGACGAGATCCGAGGCAAGAAGGAAAATGCCATCACTGCTCTATAATCACGGGGATTGTTCTTTTTTTTTAAAGCCGAAGCCACATAATGGTGCATGTTTGCGTGCGGCGCATGTTCTGAGTAATACTGTGCCTTCGCGTTTTGATGCGTGCTAAGGTGCGCGCTGTGTCTGTCACGCATTTCTACTATAAATGGGTGGTTAGGTCAATGAGGGGGCGGGGGGTGGAGGCGAGCAGACGGTGCGAGCCACAATAACCCTTGAATCTTGACGCTAGTCCAACGACACTGCATATACAAAATAGGTCTTCTATGTACGCGTAATACCCTCCAGTTCACCGATCCATCAGGCGGCAGCAGCATTTTTGTGATTGCACTAGCATTGAAGATACGTAGATAGAAGGTAAAGCAAGTTTGGGTTTGGATGACGTCGTTTCGCAGCGTTTTCTGCGCTACTCCAGGCAGCTGAACAATGGACGACGTTGGTCAGCCCTCATGTACCTGTGCCCATGCGGTTCATCATGCGCGTGCAATGCGTCGAATCCAAAACGCATGCCAGACGCGTGTGACTTGTCGCACGCGTCTGACATGTGATCTGTCAGTTTTTTTTCTTTGCAAGGGGTAATTTATCAGCTTGTAAAAATGCATCAACGTGCGCCTTTATAGAGCTCCGCAGATACATGCCAAACAAACCTGTAGAATATTGCGTTCCTCAGACACTTAATATGTGAAGCAAACGCCATGTGGCGCGAAGGAGCGGAGACAAACGGATACGACAAGAACGTCTTCGGCATGGTTGGTGGACTGAACTATGTACACCACGTGCATGTGAAAATGTCACAATCATAGGTGCTAAACAAATTAGCGCCACGCTCCAAATGATGGATAAGCTACTCAAGCCGTCTGGTCAAATTCGAAGATATTCAATGTCTATTGGTCCATCTCGTTCGGCGGTGGAAATAAGTGTTTACCTGGTGCTTTCGGCGAGGGCCAGGGACACAGAGCAGAAATCCCGAGCCAGCATTCTGACCTGGTGCCTTGGGCGGAGAGCAGCGCGAATTGCCCTCCACATTCTTGCAGCATTTATTGTCATTGTTGCCACAGTCGCTGTCTACGTCACAGTTCGGGTTTCCCAGCTCCAAGACAGAGGGCAGGGGACACACGCCAGGCTTCGGTCCTGAAACATGTCGCCAATCAAGGCGATTTCACACAAAAGAAGGAAAAAACATACATCTTGTCAAAGAAATATCTTGCAGGGAACTTAAGCCCGCATACTTTTATATTATGATAGGTAGGATGCTCTTAGCTGCTGGCTTCATATTCAACTGCAGTGCAGTGCAACTGGCTTCACACCTTCATCTCGTCTGGCTTCTAACATCGAACACTATTCCGTAATACCTAACAGCTCATTGATGCTGATGGAAAATGTTGGTACAACGCCTGTCCCATTTTGCCCCCAAATTACAAGCTGCCATGAGACGTTTGGCTCGTGATCTTTCATTGATCATGATTTCGAGCTACATTTTTGGGCTTATTCGTGGGATTCCTATGGAGCAAGACAACACTGGCTAAGCGGTTTCCAGCTAAGCTATGCGGTTTCCCCAATGACTGCGCTTACTGTCCGGCTCCTCGCACGAGGTGACACAGCGCTGAGTGCGGCAACACTTCTGCGTGCCGGGACACTGGGAGTCGTCGTCGTTACAGGTGTTAATGACCTCATCCGGCGAACAGACCAGCGCTATGAAAAACCGCCGGCGGCAGACACCAGGTTTCTCTGCAAACAGAACAGAGCTGTGATGGGTCCGAGACAAAGCTGCGGGACCAATCTTGTGCGCTTGCGATACACTGGTCAGCAGCCAAAGAGCCGCAAAGAAGATGCTTGAATAACTCAAAATGATGGGGAATTTGGCTTTGCGAAATATGAATCGGAGAAGAAAGAAAGGCCGCGAATAATTGATCTTCTGCTGCTGCCGGTACCGTGATACGCAAAACGCGAAGGCAGTGAGGATATTCGGCTTTATATGGTACCCTCTGATAGCTGACAGACTGGCATGCTGATCGGCTGGTAAAGGGCAGGCCAAAATGTTAACGGGCTAGCCGTCTCGATGACTGATTGTTTTACGCGGTCCTTGTCAAGGAGTTTGTGACCCTGAAAAAAATATGCATGCATCACTGGCAGAACAGAAAATGACGCGATGCTTATGGACTAAATGGCTTCCCGAATGAGGATTTCCAGTACCTCGGCGGGAAATTTGAAGCAAAGCACTGCACCAGTGCTGAAACAGACAAGACCCACGTGACTGCGGTCTGGCCGGATCCGACTCGGCTGAGTGAAAGTAAACATAATGTCATCAATTTGTCGCACGCTCGGGGTTTTCCCTATGTTTTTCTGGGGCGGCCGCAATGCACCATAGGAGAATGTTGGCATCGGTGCAGTCGGCTCAGCGCACACGCCCGTCTCGCTCCTGATCCAGGCCGCACGGAATACGGACACCAGCGGCCGATCTGTATTGTGTGACACCCGGAGCCAGAACGGGCAGCTGTCGGCTCAGCGCACACAGCCCGTCTCGTTCCTGACCCAGACCGCACGGAGCGCGGACACCAGCGGCCGATCTGTACTGTGTGACACCCTGAGCCAGAACGGGCAGCTGTCGGCTCAGTTCACACGCCCGTTTCGCTCCTGATCCAGATCGCACGGAGCGCGGACACCAGCGGCCAAACTGTACTGTGTGACATCCGGAGCCAGAACGGGCGGCGCAGGACGACCGGCGCCGACGTCAGTTTGTTTACATTGGGCATATTTGGTGTGAGCTGGCAAGGCCAGCTTATGTCGGTCCTAGTGTCTGTTTGGTTACTTAAGCCGACTCTGTTCAGACGGTGAGTCATACACTTTTCCGCGTTATTGGCCTCGGACATTTGTTAGGTTTGCATTGACGTCATCCAACTACAGACTGTTGTAATCGAGGAAGCGAAAACTGGCGGTGCTAAATCTGAGCAAATGCACTGTGGGAGTCGGGGATCTGCCATGTGAATGGGGAGAGATGAAGGACTGAAAAAAGTTTCGGTTACCAGTGAACAGACACAAAGCGGGGGATCAATATGTGATATAAAGGAGACGAGATCCGAGGCAAGAAGGAAAATGCCATCACTGCTCTATAATCACGGGAATTGTTCTTTTTTAAAGCCGAAGCCACATAATGGTGCATGTTTGCGTGCGGCGCATGTTCTGAGTAATAATGTGCCTTCGCGTTTTGATGCGTGCTAAGGTGCGCGCTGTGTCTGTCACGCATTTCCACTATAAATGGGTGGTTAGGTCAATGAGGGGGCGGGGGGTGGAGGCGAGCAGACGGTGCGAGCCACAATAACCTTGAATCTTGACGCTAGTCCAACGACACTGCATATACAAAATAGGTCTTCTATGTACGCGTAATACCCTCCAGTTCACCGATCCATCAGGCGGCAGCAGCATTTTTGTGATTGCACTAGCATTGAAGATACGTAGATAGAATGTAAAGCAAGTTTGGGTTTGGATGACGTCATTTCGCAGCGTTCTCCGCGCTACCCCAGGCAGCTGAACAATGGACGGCGTTGGTCATCCCTCATCTGCCTGTGCCCATGCGGTTCGTCATGCGCGTGCAATGCGTCGAATCCAAAACGCATGCTGTGACTTGTCGCACGCGTCTGATATGCGATCTGTCAGTTTTTTGCTCTGCATGGGATGATTCATAAACTTGTAAAAATGCATCAACGTGCGCCTTTATAGAGCTCCGTGGATACATACCAAAAAAACCTGTAGAATATTGCGTTCCTCAGACATTTAATATGTGAAGCAAACGCCATGTGGCGCGAAGGAGCGGAGACAAACGGATACGACAAGAACGTCTTCGGCATGGTTGGTGGGCCGAGCTATGTACACCACGTGCATGTGAAAATGTCACAGTCATAGGTGCTAAACAAATTAGCACCACACTCCAAATGGTGGATAAGCTACTCAAACCGTCTGGTTAAATTCGAAGATATTCAATGTCTTTTGGTCCATCTCGTTCGGCGGTGGAAATAAGTGTTTACCTGGTGCTTTCGGCGAGGGCCAGGGGCACAGAGCAGAAATCCCGAGCCAGCATTCTGACCTGGTGCCTTGGGCGGAGAGCAGCGCGAATTGCCCTCCACATTCTTGCAGCATTTATTGTCATCGTCGCCACAGTCGCTGTCTACGTCACAGTTCGGGTTTCCCAGCTCCAAGGCAGAGGGCAGGGGACACACGCCAGGCTTCGGTCCTGAAACATGTCGCCAATCAAGGCGATTTCACACAAAAGAAGGAAAAAACATACATCTTGTCAAAGAAATATCTTGCAGGGAACTTAAGCCCGCATACTTTTATATTTTGATAGGTAGGATGCTCTCAGCTGCTGGCTTCATATTCAACTGCAGTGCAGTGCAGTGCAGCTGGCTTCACACCTTCATCTGGTCTGGCTTCTAACATCGAACACTATTCCGCGATACCTAACAGCTCATTGATGCCGATGGAAAATGTTGGTACAACGCCTGTCCCATTTTGCCCCCAAATTACAAGCTGCCATGAGACGTTTGGCTCGTGATCTTTCATTGATCATGATTTCGAGCTACATTTTTGGGCTTAATCGTGGGATTCCTATGGAGCAAGACGACACTGGCTAAGCGGTTTCCAGCTAAGCTAAGCGGTTTCCCCAATGACTGCGCTTACTGTCCGGCTCCTCGCACGAGGTGACACAGCGCTGAGTGCGGCAACACTTCTGCGTGCCGGGACACTGGGAGTCGTCGTCGTTACAGGTGTTGATGATCTCAGCCGGCGAACAGACCAGCGCTATGAAAAACCGCCGGCGGCAGACACCCGGCTTCTCTGCAAACAAACGCCAGAGCTAAAAATGACGCTGAAAACGCAACTGATGCTCGCTAAGATTCAAGGCACCCCGTTGTCCAGGCCGAGGAGAGGCAGCTGCTCAGCAAGCGGCTCGACGAGCAGAGGACGGTCAGCCGGGGTCAATGGCCCACAAAAGCCCAAATGCCGCAAAAAAAACAAAATGGCCAAAATGACTCACATCGGGTAGCAGTGTGCTTGGATTGTTGGCACGGAAAATATGTTTTCTGCACTGAGCACTTCAAGTAAGAAAAAACACAGAGAGAAAGATGACCTTTTTCTTTGACCGTTTAAGTGGGTCAACAAATCATGACACAAAATGGTTTAAATTCACCTTACATTTGCTTGTAAGAGATATCAACAACAATGCCCAGAAACCGCGACGTGACTGCAAGCTATAATCGCACCTGCTTTTTTTGTAGGCACCAGAAGCGTACGCACCTGTGAAATCTAGGGGCACGCGGCTCCGCTGCGTCGTATCTAAAATTCTCCACGGGAGTGATCACCATGACTTGCGACGGGGAGGGAGGGGGAGGGGGGAGGGGCTAGTATTTTACGAGTGAGTCCCAGCTCCATTGACAGCACCTACTGTGCACAGACTAACAGACCCCAAAAACACTGGTGGGAGAATACATAACGTGTCAATGAACCGCCGATGCTGTTTTCCCTGGTGCCTTAAAGGGAGTGCCCAACATTTGTATGGGTTTTTGCACTGAAATAGCCATCTTGAAGATCATTCGGTGCGGTAAACAGCCCTGCCGTTCTTAAGATCTAAACCCCTCCAGGTTTTGAGCCACATGCCCGCAAAGATATGCAACTGTTTCGTGCAGACTACTTCCAGGTCATTCAGGCATCCATGACGTCATGACGACGTCATTCAGATCCTATGATTCCATTAACCATTGGGCGGTCAAGGCCAGGGCAAACAAAATTATCGAGCCGTGGTGTCTGGCGTTCGTTCGTAAGCAAAATTTCCGGACATCACGGCCATCAATTGACATTCAGTCAGTGTTGTGCAAGGTGTGATGACGCGATCAAACGATGACGTACTGAGGACCATATTCACTGAACAGATATATTGTGTTATCTTGCTTTCTTCAATGCCTTCAGATGTGAAACACTCAGTTTAAAACGATTGTTTCCGCCCCGTGCCGCACATATTCACTCGGCTATCCGCTAATATTGTAACCAAATTACGGCTGTCAGGTTCTACAAGTTGATGCTCATGGCAGTGCCTAGCATATTTGGAACCAAAATGCGGAATTACATTCAGTAGTGGCGTGGTGCAAAACTGCACTCGAACCTCACAGTTAAAGGCGGGGGATGGGGCGGGAGTGAGGGTGAGGCTAAAGCCCGTGATCATCTTTGGCTGCGCCACCAATCGAAAAGGCTGTCGCACCTTTGGAGATATTGAGGCATGCATCAGATGTCATGTAAACGCTCACTTGGAACTTTTGTTGTGTTTAAGCGCAAAAGACTGTTTTTAGTTAAATAAAACTCACTCATAAGTAGCCATGGTCCTTAATGCATCATCATTTGATTATGCCATGCATCCTTTTAATAACGTCGGAGTCGCTGCCTGACTTGCCGCACCCTAGTTGCCGCTGTAGCGGACAGCGTGACCTACTTGTATTTATTATACGCGCCATAAGGTGGCTTGTTGATATATGCGCTGAATTCAACGCAGCGGCGTAACGTGCGTGTGTTTTGGCCTTTTCTCATGGTGTCTTGTGTATTTTTCCCGTGATGGCTCTGTTATACCCAAAAGCTGTTTAGGTGTATGTGTTATTTGTGGCGGAACGCGGTTCCCTACCGAGGCATGCAACCAACATCCAATGACTGTTAGCTACCTACTTTCTGTTGATGGGACATTTGAACGCGCATCACTGCAAAAAGAATGCCTAAGTGGCCATTCTCTTCTTGGCCATAAGCAAAACTCAGCTAATAAGGACGGGTTTTCGCGTGACGCCCATATGACGTCATACATGTCTGAGTGACTTGCCCATAGACGGTGCGTAATAGGCTGCACATGTTTACGTGCATCGAGCTTAGGAACAAGAGGATTGGAAACATGAAAAGGACGTGTCCATGAACTGCACGAAATGGGGAATAAAATGGCTACCTGAGGACAAAACCTCATTCAAATGTGCAACGAAAACTCTAACCTATGTGCGACGGAACGTTGATAATGAAAAGTTCCGGGTAGACAAGTAAAACCGAATAAAAAAGGCATGTTTTGCAAGCCGTGCAAGGAATTTGCACTCGCACGCGGCAAGCTAATCTAGTTTTCCATATCTTTTTAGCTGTTCTTTCTCTCTCACTGCGAATTCCCTCGTACGCGCCTGGTTAGCATGCATGCTTGTCTACGCCCATTCTGACCTGGCGAAGAGCAGCGTGTATTGCCGTCCACATTCTTGCAGCATTTCCTGTCATCGTTGCCACAGTCGCTGTCCACGTCACAGTTCGGGTTTCCCGGCTCCACGGCAAAGGGCGGGGGGCACACGCCAGGCTTCGGTCCTGAGGCCAGGCAGCTTGCATCAGCCTTACAGGGAATGACTTTGTTTATTTATTCTTAAAACCCTTAGAGCATAGTCTTCAAGTGATTGCAGAACTGGGATCAGTGCCCACTCTAAGCGATATAGCCTCAGAACCTGAAAGCGTCGTAAAGTCCCAAGGATACACACGCACACACACACACACACACACACACACACACACACACACCACACACACACACACACACACACACACACACACACACACACACACACACACACACACACACACACACACACACACACCACACACACACACACACCACCACACACACACACACACACACACACACACACACACCACACACACACACACACACACACACACACAACACACACACACACACACACACACACACACACACACACACACACACACACACAACACACACACACACACACACACACACACACACACACACACACACACACACACCACACCACACACACACACACACACACACACACACACCACACACACACACACACACACACACACACACACACACACACACACACACACACCACACACACACACACACACACACACACACACACCACACACACACACACACACACACACACACACACACACACACACACACACACACACACACACACACACACACACACACACACACACACACACACACCACACACACACACACACACACACACACACACACACACACACACACACACACACACACACACACACACACACACACACACACACACACACACACACACACACACACACACACACACACACACACACACACACCACACACACACACACACACACACACACACACACACACACACACACACACACACACACACACACACACACACACACACACACATACACACACACACACACACATCAATCTAAGCGGTGCTGGTTGCGTGAGCTCTGACCCCACCATCCGATCGTAAAATTTCGATAAACGGCAGACTTTCGCGTCTTGAGCTTAACGTGCTGCCGTTCTCGACATAGTCCGTCCTGTTCCCGAACGTCACCTGACCTGTAGCGCGACCGCTGCCGCCGGCTGCAGGCCATCGCAGCTTAGGCCAAATTGCTGGCGCCTAAAGCGACTCGGGCTCACCATGCCAAGGGTGGGCGAATCAAAAGGCAGCCGCTCTGGCCAGCAAACTACCAGGAGCCTGTGTTCAACAGCTGTACAAGGCACATAGCAGGAAATGTAGCCTTGCGTTCAAGGCTGCTACTGAACAGGTTATCTTCCGCTTGAAACTTCCACTTGCACGACTACGTGTAAAGAAGACAGTGCTGCAAGCCCCAGCGTTGTAGTTTTTTCCTAGAATTTCCTCCACGCTGACGCACGTACCGTCCGGCTCCTCGCACGAGGTGACACAGCGTTGAGTTCGGCAGCACTTCTGCGTGCCGGGACACTGGGAGTCGTCGTCGTTGCAGGTGTTGATGATCTCATCCGGCGAACAGACCAGCGCTATGAAAAACCGCCGGCGGCAGACGCCCGGCTTCTCTGCGAACGGACGGCGCGAATTTAAATGGCCATTGAAGCACACGTATGGGGCAAAACCCAACGTACCAGCCCGATGCTATTAATCCCTGAGGAGATAAGGATAAAAAGTGTCTTACTGGTAGAGAGAAGTCATGACCTCTTCCGCCAACAAAATAGCCAGCCTTCAACATACAAGGAGGTGCTGGCTGGACGAAGAAATCAAATGTGATTTATTAAGAAACAATTGGAATATATCGTCCAAATGCTCGACTTTTCCAGCGGTGCTCGTAATCACGTCTCAACAGGTCACCGGTGGCTTAAGCCTCTCCTCGTTGACACCAATCGTACCACATGAGAATCAGGCTAATGCGAGGTAGCAATGCCACCGCTCGGCTGGGTACCAAAAGAACGGTTCATTTTCGGGAATTATGTGTATCGTAAACAAATTACAGCAAAAAATGGCAGGTACGCTATCGATCGCCAAGTCGATTAAGACTTGAAGACTTAAGACTCAAGACATAAGACCAAAAGAACGGTTCACTTTCGAGAATTATGTGTATCGTAAACAAATTACAGCAAAAAGTGGCAGGTACGTTATCGATCGCCAGGTCGATTAAGAGGCCAGTGCAAACTATTTACATGCACCTTATACAGGGTTTTCAGAGTCATTGCCGCATATAACCTCATATCATGTTGTTCTCAGCATGGCTAAAATTCGATAAATTGTCACGGACGGCATAAAATGCTAGAGGCGAGTCCGAACAAGTGAAACTGGTTACAATATGATATTTCGAAGTGGAACTAGCAATCTGCCTCGCGTGGCATGACACGTGAGAGGCGGCAATAGATGTTAGCGCCGCGACTTGTTATAAAGCAGACGACGTCAAAATTAAGGTAATTGAACCAGACTCCTTCACTAACCGGTGTGAATCGCTGTTTTCTCAATGTGTTGAAAATGTGCCTTTATGATGAAAATGTAACTGGCGGAGGTCAAGTGATGCAACATTCGTGTCTGACCTACCAACAGCATTGCCTAAAAAACGGCTGGCCGTGAACCAACTCAGTGGAGGGGCTGGCTATATCAACCCAAGTTTTAATCCGCGAAACCAATTAATTTGCAATGATTTACTGCTCAGCTTATTGCCGCTGATATTTTTCAAAGCATGCAAACGTTTTAAGTGAATAATCGTCACAATTAGCAATGTTGCACGCTGGTGGCGCTTGCATTGCCCGACCTTTTTCCGCGTAACCCCGCTTCGTGCGCAAACAACGGAGTGGGTCCAGTGTGCACACGAAAACGCGTGACCGCCTACAAACATCGACTCAAACTTTTTTCACTTGTCAATGCTTTCCTCCATCAGGATGTGTTAGTCATGTGCCGCTGTGACGCCATGTCGCCGAGGTCTGAACCCACTTTCGACTTGCATGCGCTCGGGTTCCCACCCACGCGTGGTTCCCACCCGCGGTCAATTCGACACCCCAATGGTTTTTTCAAAATAATTTTCGAGCGGTGCGGCGTAACCGTGCAACACAATGAATACCTGTAAGAAATCGAAAAGCGAATCTTTTTGAGCTAAATCATCATATGTACCCTGTAAGGTCGCTGATTTATGGCAGGTCAAAGACAGGTCGTGGCTGTCAACGAAGGCAATTTCTAGGGGACTATTAGTATATGACAAGAGAGTGTTAGACAAAGCCATTCATCTCCAGGGTAGTTTCTTAAGAAACAAACATTTTATTCAGAATGATGACAATTCCATCAACTTAGAGTAAAGCATGAAGGTCAGGCAGGGGTCACAACCAACCTCTTTTCTAGAGGAAAGTAAAATCTGTGATAACGGGAACTGCAACAGACATCTGCCATAGATTTCTGAATTATCAGAATAAGTCATGACCTTAAATGACCTTTTGACATTGAAAATGACAGCTTTTTGTTTGTAGGAACGTACCGCCTGGTGTAATCCTCAGCACTTATTTAGATAAAGAAACCAAAACACTTCCGTAGGTTTTGGGTCATCTTGACCTTCTGAAAGTCAAAAAGGTCACTGAACTAAGTCAACACTAGTAAACTTTTACTTAGGACAGATATTTAGGTTTAAGACGGTTGGAAGAGAACGTCTGGAGGCACTTTGAACACCAATCGTAAGTTTAACTATGTTCGACCTCACTTGAGACGAAGTTCATGACCTATAAACCTTAATGTTGACCCGAGTGAGTTCACACTCAGATCAATCCACCCTGTCAATCTGGTGCCTATAGCTTTCTTAGTTTTTTTTTAGACCTCAGGCGGAGAAATCGACTGCCCCCACCCGAGCGAAGGGTATTCAATCGGCCACCGGTGCGCGGACTTGACTTCTTCGCGATTTGAAAATGTACTTTTTCCATCTGAATGAAATGGGGAGACACGACAGTCGTAACCCTGTAATACCACCACGATGTTAAAAAAGCACTTTGGATGTCCAAACAGCTTACTTGCAAATGCCAAACGATTCATAAGGCGCATCATTTGAAAGCATCCAGCCTCCTGCTGCCAAAACCACCTGAATCTGCGGTCTGTGAATGCAAATATATAGGCTTTTAAAAAAGCGGAGCATCCGGACGGGGCCTATCAATAATGGAATCGGCTTCGTTTTCGCGAGCACGTCTATGTCTGCCTTGCGCCCATTCTGACCTGGCGCTTTGGGCGAAGAGCAGCGGGTATTGCCGTCCACATTCCTGCAGCATTTCCTGTCATCGTCGCCACAGTCGCTGTCTACGTCACAGTTCGGGTAGCCCGGTTCCACAGCAGAGGGCAGGGGACATGTCCCGGGCTTCGGTCCTGGAAATGGTCAGGCCGCCTCCATCACGCCAAAGAAAACGCTCAACACGAACGTGACAACTAGATCAGCCACATATCGATGATGTCTTGCTCGATAAGCAACTGCCGTTTACAAAAGGTAAGCGGATAAAATGTTACAAACATACATGGTGCTTGATTTGAAATGTCGACTTTAAGAGGGCTACAAATGCGTAGAAATTACCACTTATTAACTTCTTTATATGTTACAGATCCTTGAACATTTGAACATTTTTACATTTATAGTCAGTACATCTACCTAGTAAGACATTTCCACGATAGCCGCTAAACACGGACGAGCTTCCACAAATTCCAGAATGACCAACACCTGATAAGGCTGCCAGTGCCTTGCAAAGGGCGTGTATGGCCGCTGAGCGCGGGGCGGAGGCCTGCTTCTCTGGTTCTCAGACCGCAATGATTGCGACACAAACATCAATCAAAGTGTCCGGCAATTTTCGACAGTACTTGCCATATAGTGCATGCTTGGCCTATTTGTAGCATACCCACTTGCGCTTTTTAAATTGAAATTTCAGGCACGACATCCTCTTCGTGACCCATCTCCAGGGACGCACGCGTGCATGGAAGCCCCTCTCATTAAATTTATGACATGTATTGCTATGATCGTGACTGCTAAATGCTGACATGTAAGCAAACTCCCAGAAGGTGTAAATCAAGTGGATCGAAAAGATCACAGGAGAAATTGCGCCGCGCGCCTAACTCGGTTTTCAGTAATTTTTTATCTGCACCCCTCCCCCTGCTGATAGATCTTTCGTGTGTCCCTGACCATTCAAGCAGTTCCCCAATGACAGCGCACATACCGTCGGGTTCCTCGCACGAGGTGACACAGGCTTCAGTACGGCAGCACTTCTGCGTGCCTGGACACTGGAAGTCGTTGTTGCAGGTGTTGATGGTCTCGGCCGGCAAACAGGCCAGCGCTATGAAAACCCGCCGGCGGCAGACGCCCGGCTTCTCTGCAAACAGAGCGACATGACACAAAGGGGCCAAACATGTCCAGGCCCATACCTCCCCAATTCTGTGATTCTGAATTTGGCAAGATGCATCTGGCTGATAACCGTAATGACATGTGGACTTTCCGACGCATCAATCAGACACGCTGGTGTGGTTACCAAAGGTGTCTGGCTCCATTAGCCCATGACCTGGCGTCATTTGCATGACGAAACCGGAAAACTATCACTTCTGTTGTCACTGACCCCACTCCTGCACCACATCTCAAAACGACGTGTTTACAAAATCGATATTCACCTGAAATGCCTCTTAAAATATTTTTTTGCGTGAACCTCTAAACCCATGCTCGACAGTTGCGACCGCACGCTCTCCGATAACGAGGTATTTTGTTTGAGCTTGGGAGCTTGTCAGCACAGAGATCAGACAGCATCGAAGGACGGGAGGAGACAGTCCTGACCAATCGAGTGAACCTGGTGTGTTGTATGAGCAAGCAGACGCCAGTCCGATAACATTTTGCCATGGTTTGTGCATGCGGTTACTGACACATGGCATTCCCTCAAACCTTTGCGCCTTACGCGAAAAAGTAAGAGCGTTCTACCGAGGAATAACGGTTTCCTTAGCGGAGGTGCTCGAGGAAAAGTGGCGACATCCTGGAAATTTTTGTTGACGCCTGGAAGGATGCACATCAACATGAAACGGCTCGAACCTAGCTTGTATGATACTCGGATTACTCATCCAGTCGGATGACAAACCAGGTAACAATGACCCACCTGCTGACAATTTTTTGCGGGAGGGAATTGACAACGGTGGCAGAACCTGAATTTATAAGCAGAGGTTTTGAAAGGTCGTGGCCCCGCGTGGACACGCTTATAGCTTTAAGATGTTGAGCGTTGCCAACATAACCAGCGTTCAGCGTTTCGATATTTGACCACTTAAATGCCGGAATTTTTCATGCTTTTGCACCCGGCTTGAGGTTCACTGCCTGTTGCCCGTCCCCTGCTCAAAATCGGCCAATCAGCATCGAACTGGGCAACAGTCAACCCAGCACCCAAGCAGCTGAGCCTTCACAAATGACCCGGGCAGGTCAGATATATGGGTCCAAGGGCATGGGGCAATGGATTAGCACCAAATAATTGCGTGCTGAGGCCGCAGGAGAGCGAAGATTCTGGAAGCAGGAATTTCCATTTCATCACGCAGCATCCAACTAGATGCATGTTGGAACACTGCCAATTCTTCTTCTTTTACGTCACGCTACCAGTCTCTTCCGGTTAATTGGATCAAGATTATTTTCGGCATGAGAACTCCCGACTCACAACGCTGACCTGGAGATTCAATACTTTGATATGACGCCAAAGAATTCCGGCGTTAAATCAATATCGGTGATACCAGGCCGGTGTCTAAGTTGACAACATCGGGGCTTGAAGCGACGCCGGCGCCAGAAAACCTGTGTGTGCTCAAGACACACTGAAAAGTAGTGCCAACACTAGTGCCAGCCGAACCCTGGCGACTCTATGCCAGCAGTCTTTTACAGACCGGTATCATGGTTCCTGGAGAGCCCTTGCGCTTAAGCGCGAGCGCCCATGGTAATTCCAGTTGTGACATCACAAACACGTACCGTTCTAAACAGTGGCGTAGCTCGGATTTCGCCCAGTATGGTCCCAAATCGAGTCACCGGGGGCCTTAACAGCAAGGGGGTCCTCTTTGACGCTACAGGAGCCGTGCTATTTTTAAATTGCGTGATCTTTTTAGGCTCAGGATCCTTCAATGTCTCTGGGCGCCGCTTCATGTCCTTGAAGCACTTCAGGCGTTTTAAACTACCGAAAAGTAATGGGTTCAAACCACCTGTGGGGGCGGGGCCATGGCCCCAAGAGCTCCCCTACGCGACTGGTTCTAACTGTGTTTGACTCGTTAGCGCTCGGGAGTGCCTATTCATGATGCCTTTCCATAAGCGCCCTATTGCCCCCTTTCGAGACATAAGGCATTTATACAGTACTCCGCAAGTACGGGCAGCCTTCCAGATCCGTGCTTCTTGTCCGAGGAAATACGCATGGGGCTGAAAGAAGCTGCGACAAATCATATACCACGTTTTTCGCCAGCAGACGTCGGCTGTACATGGGCGCACTTGTCAGCGGGGGTCTGGAGCTACTGGTGCCATGGTGCCTGCCGTAATGGGGGAAGGTGGTTAGCTGATCCCTCACCATAAGGCGCCGGGTGGACACCGCAGACGGCCAGCAGAAGCAGCAGCAGAACAGACTTCATCGCGTCAGGCATGGAGACTGCCGCCCCGCTCCAACGCGCGACCTCCCGCTCGGCGAGACTCGCAAACACTAGCACCCGCTCGAGGCTCTTCATAACCTTGGAACGCCGCAAGGCTGCCAGAGTCGCATGGCTGGGTCTGTCCCTATATCTGACGAGATATTCGCCAGTTCTGGAGGGCCTTTACGCACCGATTTCACCAGTTCGTCTTCAGATCAGAAGTTGTTGGCATTCCACGAGATTGAAGGCGCTCCCTACCTCCAGCGCGTATGGGGCAGCTTTTTAAGGTGCGCAGCTTTTCAGACTGATGACAAATTTCAAGATGTTTTCATGCGTAAACCTGATGGGACTAGACAAATGTCTTCACAAAAAGAATGTTAGGTAATAGGGTTCATAAAAACCTGAGCGTACTTCCTGAGCCATTACGGGCACATCGGTGGAAAACAACAGAATGGACAGGCTTTTGAGAAAGCGGGCTCAATTGTTTGATAAAAACGGTAATGAAATAAGATAATAAAGTTAAATTAAAACGGTAAATCGATGTTGGAAAGAAATAAAACTACATCCCTCCCTTGCAATTTCACTTTCCTAGCATTGGCATTTATTTCAAAAACACTCAGCAAAATTGGCGTCTCACCACATTGGAAGTTAAAACGCCCTCATGACACAGGTAAGATGCCCTGAGCAAGGATACCTACAGGGTACGAAGTATGTTAAGCTGCTAGTTACCTGATTTTATTCAAAATATGCCGCGCGAGTGCTTTTCTCCCCTTTGTGCTAGAATCTTTTCACTACTATCCCTTTCGAACTGTCTTGAAAAATGTGCAAGTTGTAGCCACGACAAAACAGCATTCGAGCACTTTTTAGAAGTTAAGTCAGTCCGGTATCGTTTACCGGTAGTGACTCCTAGTCACCTTTTAAGCGAGAATCATGCCTGTGGCAGGTCAAATGAGATCGCACGGGTTAAGTGATCACTTTTTAAACTTAAGCGGACATCTCCACACTAAGCACGCTGGGAAGAAAATGCAGACGCCGTTAAGCAGCCCGTCAAAACTTAAATGGATGGGTCAAGCTGATGCATTTTGAATGCTCTCAAAGTTAGTCATATGTAGCGGTGGACCATATGTAGCAATATATCATGCCCCAGGAAGTGTAACGTAGGGAACCGGTCACGGCTCAGGGGCGATGCGTTAGCCCGCGGACGTGGTGGGATGGAAAGCGGTGGTGCCGGCGAGTCGCACGCCGATCGTGTTGCGGGTGGGCTTGGGAGGAGTATAAGAGGTGCTGCTCGGGGCGCGTAGAGAGTCCCCCTGTCGGCGTTGTGTGCGGCAGTTTCTGTTGTGTGTGGTGGTCCAGGCGAAATGAGATCTACGAATACATCATATCTAAATTCATATCTAATAAAAGTTATTTATTTCGATCAACGAATATCTTGGACTTTCGTCGTGCCAACAAAATTAACGGCATGCCCAACTTGCATGTTTCTGATGCCAACACCGTAGCTTTCTACCTAGTCCACAACAAAACATTATTCGAATTGTAATGAATATATTTGGGCATAGGTAGGTAAACCTCCGTGCCAAAGACCTGGACTCGGCACAGGTCACAGGCGTAGTTTCCTGTACTACCATCAACGTCAGTGCAGGGAACACATGCCCAGCCGCGGCATATCAACCGATGTACCCATTCCCCGCAGGACCTTTCAAAATGCATGCTGCGGATGTTGCAGATGGCCTTGTCAGGCTTCGCGCCCGTTATGACTGTCCTTTCTTCACTGTCTTGTATGCTGCTATCTTCCTTTGGACCACTTTGGACTCTACTTTCGGTTTCGAAAGCTCTCTCTCTCTCTCTCGCCTCTCTTCTAACAGTCGCTTTGAAGGGGCAGATGGACGTTATCACTGTGGAATGCTCCGCCCAATGCCATCTCTTCCTTTGCTCACCCCGGGGAGGTGTGCAGAGCGAGACCAAAGCATCACCTGGATGCATTGTTGTGTTCAGATTTTCTGGGGAGTTAAGTTCGCCAGCGCCTCCATATTCATCTTCATGTTATCTGTGGCTAGTGCCGTCGCCGCGACCAGCGGGTGGCGCACTTACGCAGAAAACTGCGAAATCCTCATCAATGAATGGCCTGTCACAAGGCCAGATTCATGACGCTTTGAAGCCGTTGATCGCCCTCTCCATGGTGGCTGCTTTGATGTGAGGAGTCCCTAAGATCTGGACCGCCTCATACTTGAGTGCGCATCCAGCTGTCCATGGAGTTGTTTTACAGACTCTTGAGTTAAAATATGCTGCATCACGCCACATCACGTGGATGCATCCGGTGAGTGCATTGTGGTGGTAGCGTGATGATGATAACACCGTGTTCTCGAACCATGTCCATAACTTCTATGGACTTATGACTGCGGTGACCATCCAATATCACCAGGTGCCTATCTTCTAAGGAGGTCTTTACCAGAACCGCCTCATCTGAGGTCGGTTGAAGCCCACAGCACAGGCAGCACCCCCAACCTCTGGACTCCTTAAAGATAGATGTGGATGGCGAAGCAGAAATCCATGGAATCAGTCTTCGCCCGCTTTCTTGCTACCGAGTTTCCAGGCCAGGTTTTTCAGCGAACGCACATGCCAGACGACGCAAGGCGAGAGATGTCAGGCCAAAGAGGAGCTTCTTGATCAGCTGAATCTTGCTGGCATTCAAATGGTTTTGTAACATCAGTGAACCATCCCAGGTTTCTTGAGGCCGAAACCTTGGCATTCCGATGGCATCGCAGCACCTGAGGTCTTGTCACCCTGAGTCTGTCTGTTGGTCACCCTGAGGATTTTTCTTGCAGTCTTGTATGTCCTTGAAGCCTGGTGAGATGTTCCGTGGTGCAAGGCCTGGAGTGCTAGTTCAAGACCTTGCTGGCCGTAAGCGCCCCTATCAGTTGTCCTGGCTCTCGTTCGCCCGACATCGTACCACACGCTGACAAACCGACACAAATGAGTCAGAATTGGTTAATCATGGAATAGATATAGAAGCGATGCGATCAGGACTAGGACGACCGCACCACTCCCCTCCCCCAAAGATACCTAAAGAGGAGGTCGAACCACAGACATCCATATCCCTGGGTGTCCAATAATTGCCTTTATGGCCTTCAGGTGGGAAAAGCTGCCATGACAATAAAAGTCGATGTGCACATCGACCGAACGGAAATGCATGTTGTGTGGAGGGGTAAGATGCCCCGGGTTGGGTAAGACGTCCCGGGGCATCTTACCGAACTTTGTAGGGGGCGTCTTATACACACACGTACAAAACTAAACACACAGAGTTCCCTAAAATTCTACAATGATAGCGGGGGGGGGGGGGGGGTTAGTCCGGCCAAAAACAAGGTAAGTATTACTATTTTAGGAAAAATAGTAAGCGTTGTACATACATGAATTTAACCAATTATTCACATCTTCACTGATGCGTTTTTCATAAACGCCCAAAAATCAAAGCATAGTACCAGCTGTTACGGCGCGACACCGCGGACACCAATTTTTGCTCCAATAATAAATCCGGCATCGTCCATGACTCAAGCGCATAAAAACCCATCTCAGTACATAGATCGACAGCCTGAGGGGAGGGGAGGTCTTACCTACCGGGGCCTCTTTCCCCACTCTCCCCCACGATGTATGCACTTTGTTATCCGTATCTGAGCGTATGTATGTACGCGTTGAGCGTTTAAGTTGGCAGCAATCGCATGTGTTCAGTCGTAGGTGTTAGGTGCAATGCTATTGAGTGCCTGATACGGATCTGATACCACCGTAGACTTCTGCCGCAGACGACCCTGCCCTTCCAGCGGGGGCCACAGCATCGGCCCCACTACAAACGGTGCGACCGACAGAAGCGCGACGGCATGAGCTCTACGCCACATTACTTCTACTGCAAAAGCTTCTACAGTCTTCATTTATACGCATCATTATTTTAACTATAAACAATTCTGCAATGTACATTTATATGTAACATTTCTTCTATTGAAAGCATTCATGCACGACATTTGCGCTTCACAGCAAAAAATACGCTTCAAACATTTACATCCGACATTAAAGCTACTGCAAAAACTTCAGCCGTCTTTTGTTTGTATGCGATATTGATTCCATTGTCGGCATTTATTTGAGACCCTTGTGCCAAACGATAAAACTCATGCCCCAAAACCTATATGCGCCATTACATATGCTGCAAAAGCTTCGATAGCTTTTAACTGTCTTCGACTGCTAATTATTATATGTGATGTTGTGCTACACGGTAAAATGCATGCTTCAAAATCTTATATTCGTTATTGTCTCTGCTGCAAAAAATTATGCGGTCTTTAGTCGTGCGCAATATTGTATCGGCTGCCAGTATTTCTATACGGCATCACTTGTACATGTAAAACTTATGCTTCAACAGTTTGCTTGCTAGGACACCAGTATATAGGTGGTGCATCATCAAAATCCTGGAGGCAGCCTGCAAATGAAGACAATTGGAAGGACAAATCAGCCTAGAGGTGGCCACCCCACTGGTGTTGTAGCATCGCATGTTGGAACTTACTGCTACTAGAGTGATTCCTATGATCTACGTTCATGACTTCTACAAAATTTACTGGTCCGCGATACTTATGTTGCTCCGAAATGAAAGCTTTGTTTCCCCTTCACGAAGTGATTTTGGCACCCTGAATGGGCACCAAATACCCATGGCGAGGGCGTGGCCCCATGGCCCCCTCTGGATCCCCGCCAGGACGACCAAGACGATGATGAAGATGAACGGGCACGGAGATGTGAGGTTCCAAGGACCGTCGGCGGGAAATCGAACCCAGATATGGCACCTGGACAAAACGTCGTTACTAACTGGGCTAATACACCCATTTGTGGTCGTTGTTGCAAGGCTCAGCCAACCCCGAAGGGCATGTCGTGATCTATGGTAACAAGTTGATGTGGCGCGGCGAATCTATCCGCCGCGGGATATATCTTTTCCTTCGCCATGCGTGAGCACGCCCTTTTTACCACGCGTGGCCCGAGTGCTCACTCCGGACGGGTGCGCCAGAACAGTCCATGATGGGCGG